ACCCCGACCTCCCAGGACGCCGTGCTGAACCAGCTGAGGGGGAAGTCCCATTCCTTCATCATCTCCACGGAGACCGCAGATCCCTCGTCCAGATGGAACAGGCTGAGTTCCGTCAGCAGTGGGTTGAACTTGGTCCTCCAGAGCCCTGGTCCACAACAGAAAGGGCATCAGGGGGCAAAAGGCCGGCCATCTTCTCGCCCTCAGAGCCGAAGGTCTCCAGATTCCGGCCCTGCTTGGAAGGAACCCAGATGGCCCATGGTGGCTTCCCAAACCGCCAGCCAGGAAGGAGACTCACCTCGGAAGAAGACGGCGTTGAGAAGGACCAGCACGGTGTTGGGAGGCAGCTCGGTGAGCATGGTGGAGATCTGCCCATGGGTGGCTTCTTCCACCCACTTGTTGATGGCCTCCAGGTCAGCCTGGCTGTTCCCGGAAAGGAGGGCGGGCTTTGTTCCGTAGAACCTCTGGGACGCCTCCAGGAACTTCTCCTTGATGGGGACGCCTGGGATGGAGGCGGCACGGGAGTCAGGCCCAGAAAGGGGAGGGGGGCTGTCTCACCACACAACCCCAACTCCTGGCTGCGAGGCCCGGCCCCCTGGCCCCGAGTGGTGGTGGTAGGGGCTGTTGTGCTGGAGTAGCCTTTGTTTGTGTCTAATAAACTTCACCTATGCAGCCACATGTCCAATAATTTTGCTCTTTCAGCAGGAAAAAATACTTTTCAAAAGAGAAGGACGAAGGTGGCTTCTCCCAAGAACGGCCTTCCTGGGAGATCCTGGCCACGTCCTCCACGGAAGGAGAGCAACCCGTCATTTGGATACCCGGATTGTAGCCTGAACCTGACGGTGAAACTGAGCGGTTTAAAGCCTTCAACCTCTAGAGGAGAAGGTGGGGTGGCTGGTCCCCCAAGGAGGGAGAACCATCCCGTGGCCTTCTTAGCAGGCTTAGGTGGCCCTTTTGGTCTCAATTTGAATTAAGTCACTGCACACGAGCCATGGAAACGGCCCAGCAGATGAAGTGCCATTTCTTGCCAAAAGCCTGAAGGGTCCCAATGCCAGCCGAGGCGGCCTGGCACCAAAAGAGGCCTCTGGACCTCCATCTGCTGGCACCCTGGGCAGGTGAAGGGCAAAGGGGGATGGGCGTGCCTTGGGCCACCTTGTCAAGGTCCAGTGGCACAACCCCCCCCCCCCCGCTCTCCTCCTGGGGCAAAGATTGCAAGGGAAAGGACGGTGGCAGCCCCTCCCCCTCTCCTCTGGAGGGAGGGGGACGCCCAGAGGCAGGAATGGCTACTGCCCACCTCTTGCCCACAGGGAGGGCTCACCTTTCTCCAGGAAGAGGCGGCCGGCTATGCTGAGGGCCGTCTGGTGGAGGTGCTGGGTGACCCGCCGCAGCGCCTGGTGCAGGCAGGGCACCGAGTCCATGTGCAGGGCCTCCAGGAGCTGCTTCTGGGTCTGGTTGGCGGCCCCTGAAACGAGCCAGGCTCACTTTGGGCCAGGGAAGTCCCGGCTGGAGGAGTCGGGGGGGGGGGCAGCCCTTAGGAGCCCTCCCCAGGGGAGCTCCTTGGACCGGAGGGGGCTGGCAGTCTCTGGGCAGTGGGGCTGGGCTGCAGGGCATCTCCCCCCCCCCCCC